ATAAAATACATGTATCAGATTACACCATTATAAATAATTGGTGTTAAAGTAAAGATACCACCCCTGAAAACCTTTAGTAAAAAGATTTCCCCCCTTATTTTGTGGAACCTTTATTGGAAAAATAGTGGATAAATCAAATATATGGGATGGCAGTTGTACTTGGACATATGGTGATGAATTTTTTCCTTTTCTTTTTTTAATTAGGTAAAGACTCCTATCATCAGTTCAGAAGTCAAAACATTAGTGCCTGGAATTCCTGGACATAGTGCAGCTGTCCAAGCTACATCTTTCAGGAAAAAAATGGAAACAAAACGGAAACCAGGTGGTAAAGAGGTAAATTGGCCGATGTGCCTGTGCTCAATCTTTATTCAGACTCACACCGAAAGCTGCCTTATACTTAAAGAGATCACACATTTGTCCATTCCAGCAGGCAATGGTTCTCCAGAGTTTCAAGCAGCATTCTTTCCTAGTCATTACCTGGAAATTTCTGGCTAGCCTCTTATCCAAGTTAACCTGCCCCTCCTTAGTATCTTGAAATCAGAAGATATTGGATTGTTCAGGGTGATACTGTGGTATGTCACGCCCTTCCTTACGATGTACCTTGGAAATTTTTATTTTAGTTTTCTTCTTAGAGCATTTCATTTTGAATCATATTTTGGAAAACCCTCAATAAAGATACATATATGGACAAGCTTTTTTTGAAATGAAATTTACTTGTACCCTGATAGTTTTTGGCAGTATTCAATTTTAGGAAATTTTCTCAGGCATGTTCTAATCTCACATGGTGTAACTGAAGTGCACTGTGCCTGGCAAGTACTGTATTTCAATAGAGTATATAGTGAATAACATTTCCTTTGATAACTGGCAAATAGAGGGAGAAAATGTGGAGGCAGTGACAGACTTTGTATTTCTAGGCATGAAGATTACTGCAGACGCAGACTGCAGCCAGGAAATCATAAGACGTTTACTTCTTAGGAGGAGAGCAATGACCAATCTTGATAAAATAGTGAAGAGTAGAGACATCACACTGGCATTGAGTATCTACGTAGTTAAAGCAATGGTATTTCCCATAGTAACCTATGGATGTGAGAGCTGGCTGAGCGAAGGAAGATAGATGCTTTTGAACTGTGGTGTTGGAGGAAAATCCTGAGAGTGGACTGCAAGAAAATCAAACCAGTCCATACACCAGGAAATAATGCCTGACTTCTCACTGAAGGAAATGATATTAGAGGCAAAAATGAAGTACTTTGGCCACATCATGAGAAGACAGGAAAGCTTAGAGAAGAGAATGGTGCTGGGGAAAATGGAAGGAAAAAGGAAGAGAGGCTGACCAAGAGCATGATGGATGGATGTTATCCTTGGAGTGATTGGCTTGACCTTGAAGGAGCTGAGGGTGGTGACGGCCGACGGAGCTCTGCCGTGTACTGGTCCATGAAGTCACGAAGAGTTGGAAACGACTGAACGAATAAACAACAACAAATTTCCTTATCCTTATATTGAGGGGAGAGGGGTCACTGAAAAGTACATCCTCTCCTTCCAGTGGGAGTCTCCAGTCTTTCATGATACTATGCCTAAATAAGTTTTGTCTTTTTTGGACTAGACTGAATCAGTGCTTCCTGTCAATGAGACAGTTATGTGAAATAATACCTTTTTTAAAAGGCAAAATATAGCAAATTGTTTTCTAATGGGAAGTTCCTTTGTTTGAGGGATTGTACTTCTTCCTTCTGATAAAATGTGATGCTATGCCATTATTATTGGTATCCTTATCTTGATTGCTTCTTTCAGTTCTGCTGTTGTTAAAAATAGTTGATGCATGGCCATTCTTCATGCATACAGCCATAGTGCTATAAAGCAGTCATTTGGTACTTTGATGGGAGATAGCAAAAATTTTATGTATTTCCTCGTGCTATTTAAATAAGGATCACTTTATATATATCTCTATATATAGGAGAGCATTGAAGACCGCCTTGGTGCAATGGATATTGATGGGATGAAAGTGAAACAGTCATCAGGAGAGCTTCCTCAGATTGACAATTTTGCAGTGCTTTTGGTCCAAGGCTTGGAAAGCAATGATGCTGAAATTTTAAACGTAAGTATTAACAATACTACGGTTGTTAAAAAAAAACTCCCTGTTGTATCTTGGTCATCAGTCAGTATAAGATCAGCATCCTTTATCCAGAATTCAAAAATCTGTAATTGTCCTCATTCGTGGCTTTCTGATGATTCAAGGTAGACAAAATGTCCCATGCAAAAAATTATTAAAAATATTATGTACAAAATTACCTTGAAGCTTTGTGTATAAAATGTATATAAAATATCAGTGAATTTCATATTTAGACTTGGATCGCATGTTCAAAATAGCTCCCTATTTATGTATATGCAAATAAAATCCAAGACTTACTATGTTTATGTTTATTTAAGCCCCGCTTTTTTCTTTCCACAAGGATACTCAAAGTGGCTTACATTAAAGGCTTTTCAATACAATTTAAAATCTAGCAATATACAAACGTTAAAACAGATTTAAATATCATTGGTATAAAAATTCAATTACAAATCTAAAAAAAAAATTAAAACTTTTAAAAAAAATCTCATAATGGTTATGGCTTCAGTTTACTTTTATTGAGCTGATGCTGACAGCTAACAACATGTCTTGGTCCATTAGTTGGCTCCCAAGCATTTCAGATAAGGGATGCTCAACCAATATTGGGGTATGTGTGTTGCTTACAATATATTGTAATACCGTGGTAAATAAATTAATAAATATAATTTTATTTGTTACCTGCCTCTCCTCATGGCTCCAGGCAAGGTACAACACAGTCAAAACACAAAATAAATACAACAAAATACGTATATCAAAAAACACCACTATAAAATTTGGGGTGTGAAGCACATTTCTACCACACTTGTGCCTCCTAGTCAAATTTAGGCTCAGAAAATACCTTTTTTAGGTTCAGAAAAGATCTTTTCTCAAAAAGAGAAAATGGTTTTGTTGAGTATTGTTTTGATTGAGTTTTAATGTTGCTGTTTTATAATCTTAATGTTTTATTGAATTGTTTTTTATCTGGATTGTTGTATTTAACTATGTATTTATTTTAATTGTGTTTTTACTTCAGTGAATTATTTTGTATTTGTGTCTGTGGGTGTTTTGTCCCATATGTAAGCCACCCCAAGTCCCTTCAGGGAGATGGTGGCAAGGTGTAAGAATAAAATGGTTGTTGTTGTTGTAAACAGGACATTACTTTTGCTCCCTTCCTGTTGTGAAAACATGCCTTTCCTGGGCTTAAAACCGTTGTCAGGGGGCAGTTTTTAAGTTTCTGTTTTTTTGGAGTAGGTGCGGTAAAGATGTTGAGACCTCCGAGCTGTGCTTCAGGGCTAATGTGTCAGGGAATGCGTGATGTCCAAAATTGGAAATGTGATTTAGAGTAGTAGTAAGACATACCTGTTTGTCAGTTTTGTCACATTGTCTTACTGTTGGCTGTAAACTGCCTTTCCTGTGTAGTTTTGGCAGCTGGAAGTAAGACTTTTGTAGATGAATTAAGAATCTCAAGTTCCTAAAAATGGAAATCCAAAGCTGGCATGACAGCTGAGAGACTTTTGAACATTCTTGCCAAATTTCTCCTGTGGCATCTCCACTGTTTAGCAGCCAGTAGGTGCTAAGTACTTCAAGGTCATACAGATGTACAAGAAAAAGGTGGGAGTAGTTCAGGTTGAGTATCCCTTATCTGTAATGCTTGGGAGCAGAAGGATTGTAGATTTGGAATTTTTATTTTATTTTGGGATAACAATTTTGTATGTATGTGCATAATGAAATCTTTTGAAGATAGAACCTAAGTTAATTTATATTTCATATACACCTTACATATGCAGCCTGAAAACAACTTTTAACAATATTTTAAAATGATTTTGTACTTCCAACGAAGTTTCACTATAGTGACAATCTCGGCCACCCATGTGGACAGTTCTGGAATTTAGAATGTTTTGAATTTCAGAAGTCAGTAGTGACTTACAAGTAATGTAGAGTAGGAGTTTTCTTCATCAGCCATCTCCGGCATGTAGTCTATATCTAGTTGCAAAGAGTATCCTTGTAATATGAACCTGATGAAGTAAATTCTTCCAAGATGAATGGAACTAGCTCAGATGTATTTGCATAGGTTGCCTCTGCAGGTGAAGACTGGTCAAATATGTCAGTCATATTTGTTAAAGAGTCTTTGCTTCAGTGATGACATTATTTCTTGACAGCATGGCATTATGGACATCTACTTCAAATGCAAACACAGTCTCTTTGCTGACTTGATCTTCACAAAGGGCTGAAATGAATGAGGAGTTGTTTTTTTCCCAGATGCACTTTGTTAATACCTTCATAGCCAAATGTTTTGATATTGTTGAAGGCTAGTTTTGTAGTCTGGAAAAAGCACATTTAAGAATGAATGTTGATACAGTTCTTGTACCGTATGGAGTTCTCTATAAAAACAACAAGTGTAGGCAAATAAAAAGCTAATGCAAACAACAGTTTGTAAGTGCATATATGCCTCTTTTTACTTAATAGTTGCCTGTCTACAGATTTCCTGTAACTTACTATTTGCAAACTGAAGCTGATACAGTCACCATTTGTATTCATGGCATCAAGCTGAAATACTATTATTTATTTACTTACTTCACTTGTATACTGCTTTTCTCCTCCCCTCCCCAAGCGGGGGTCTCAAAGCTGTTTCGAACATAATTATGGCAAAATTTAATGCCTTCCATACAGAAACCTAACATAACATTAATAACATACCATTATCAGTTAAATCATAAAACACAACATCATTTAACATTAAAACAGGGAATTAAAAACATATAAATATAAACATTAAAATCACACATTCCAACAATTGTAGTCCAGGCTGTTTCAAATATCATATCGCACATAATCCCAGATCATTCCTTGTACTGCTTACTGCCCAAAGGCTTGGTCTCACAGCCAAGTTTTTAGTTTTCTTCTGAAGGCCAGGAGGTAGGGTGCTGATCTAATTTCATTGGGGAGGGAGATCCACCACTGAGAAGGCTCTGTCTCGTCCCCACCAATCGCACTTGCGAGAGAGGTGGAACCAAGAGCAGGGCCTACCCATATGATCTTAATTTCTGAGATGGTTCATAGAGGGAGATATGTTCGGATAGGTAAGCTGGGCCAGAAACGTTTATACTAGAATATAACAACCGTATATACTTGAGTATAAAAACTTGGTGTATAAAAACCGGAACATACACCCACATGTGGTGGAAATGTGAAAAAATGGAAAAGTTCCATAAAATAATTAAGAAGGAAATGGAGGAGCTATTGGGAATAAATATAGAATGGAAGAACACTCAAATTTTCACTCAGAAAATGGAAAGGGGATTTAAAGAATGGGAGGAAATAATAAAACACATGATGGATGCAATTAAAGCCTCAGTCGCCCTAGGCTGGAAGGACCACAAGAAATGGGATATAAAAACTTGGTATAAATATTTGTCTGACTACCTACTTATTCCAAGATTATATTAGTGAAAGGAAAAGTTATTATAGGACGGGCAAAATCAGAAGAACCTGGGAAGCAAAATGAAAGGGTCTCATTTCCAGAATAAAGGGGAAAGATAGATATAAGGAGTTAAATAAGACTATCCTCATGATTGTACAATTGTAATAAGTATAGCAAGAGTAGTAAACCGTTCCAGGAGGGGATTACAAATGCAATAAAAGGATGCTATGTCGCTTCAAAAAATTTTTATGTTCTCATTGTATGTTCTCATTTTGTTGAGCAGAGTTTTTTGGAACAAGTAGAAGTGATGGATATAATTTGGAGAATTAGATTATCCTGTGATAATTTTGTAGTCATTTCTTGAGTCTTTTATTTAAAACTTTCGTTATTACATATAATGTGGTCATGCACATTAACTGTATTTGAAACAATCATGTCATGGCTTAACAACTGTGTGCAAGAATTTTGTCTGTGTGCTCTTCCTCTTTCATTACATCGCAGTAATATAGGATCTATTGACTGAATAGTTGTTTACCATTTGATCCCTGACAAAGAACTGTGCTTCTCAAGATTGGTCTAAAACAGGGGAATAAAGTTCTAGATTATCAACAAACAAACACTTGAGTATAAGCTGACCTGAATATAAGCAGAGGTACCTAATTTTACCACAAAAAATGGGAAAACATACTGACTGCAGTATAAACCTAGGGTGGGAAATGCAGCAACTACTGGTAAATTTTAGAATAAAAATAGACACCAATAGAATTACATTAATTGAGGCATCAGTAGGTTAAATGCTTTTGAATATTTACATAAATTTGTAATTTAAGTTAAGACTGTCCAACTCTGATTAAACTATTATTCTAACCTTCTTCAAAGTAAATGTGCTTACGTATTCCTCCAATAAAAATAGAGTGAAATAATAAATGTAATAATAATAATAATAATAGAGTAAAATAATGCATGTAATAATAATAGTAGTAGAAGTACAGTTAAATAACAAATGTAATAATAACAATAATAAAGAAAAATAATACATGTAATAATAGTAAATAGAGTAAAATAATAAATTAAATGATAACAATAATCATAATAACAGAGTAAAATAATAAATAACCTTGACTCGAGTATAAGCCGAGGGGGGCTTTTTCAGCCTTAAAATAGGGCCGATAAACTTGGCTTGCACTCGACTATATATGGTATACTTAAAAAGCACTTTTTTGAAAATATAGCAGGTCCTCTGCATTTGCTGGATTCCAAGGCGCAAAATAACCACAAGTAGAAAAACAAGGTCATCTGTTGTTCTTCTTGGATGAGTAGAGCTTAAACTCTGGGGTTAACAAGTGAATTGCAACAAATTCTGGGATCAGCAAGTGAATTGATGCCAGGCATTTTGGTGCTATTTCTAAAGTTGGTGATGTGTTCCTTTTCTCAATTTTTAACAGAAAGTGCTTCAGACCAGGAAGGATGCAGTAATAAAGAAAACAGTAGCCCGAATGCCTGTGCATGCTGTCATTCCACTGCTACATGAGGTAAGAGATACTGCATTGCCTCCTATAGTACCAACTGTAAACTAGGTTCTTCATTCAAGTAAATCAGATACAAATTATGTAATAAACAAGAGTGGTATCCTGTCATTCCCTTCATTTGAAATGGGTTTGATTTGATGATCTTGGGTTGTTACTAAGTTGAAAATTTGCTTGGTATTCAAATTGGAATTGTTTGACCATGTATATTACTATTATTGTTATTTTCCCAGACTGAGATACAAAGTGGCTTACAACAGCTAAAAAGACATGGTTAGAAAATCAACAAAATAAAAAGGTTAAAATGCAATTAAGCAATAAAAATTGAATCCCAGTTAAAACACACGTCATTAAACACACACACCAGCACAAATGGTGATATCCAGCACATTGTCTAAGCAGACTTTGGATAATCAAACATAAAATCTGTGTCAGAATAGAAAAGTATTTATTTGGTTGTGAAAAGAAAGTTGGAAGGGAAAGGGAGTTATAGAGTCTGGGGGCAGCTACAGAGAAGACCTCAATTTTTCCACTAGATATACCTCTGAGGATGGTGGGACAGCGAGATGGGTGTCCCTAGCAAACTTCAAAACACTGGCTGGTTCAAATACACTGGATCTGAGCCATATAGGTTTTGAAAGATTAAAAGTGGCCCCTTGAACTGTGTTTGGAAACAGACTGGTAGCCAGTAAAGCTGTTGCAAGAAAAGGAGTTATGTGTTACTTGTAGGCAACTCTGGTTAGCAATCTGGCCACAGCTCTTTGGCTCGGCTGAAGTTTCCAAACACTCTTCAAAGGCAGCTTCATGATGAGTGTGCTACAGTAATCCAGTGAGAATGTATCTGAGGCATATATTCCTATGGCCTGATCTAATTCCTCAAGGAGCAGGTGCAGGTAGTGCACAAACTTTTAACTGTTCAATAAGCACTTGTGGTCGCTACAGAAACTTGGCTTCCAGACTCACAGTTGCATCCCCAAGCTATGAACCTGTATTTTTAGGTGCAGTGTAAACCCCACATAGCACAAACTGAATATTTCCCTAGCTGCCTTTTGCCTGACCAGGTGCACCTTGTGGGTGCATCTGCACTATACAAATAATTCAGTTCTATACCACTAACTGTCATGGGTCAATCCTGTCGGGTCATAGGAATTGTAGTTTTACAATGAATGCCCAATGCCTCACCAAACTACAAATCCTTTGATGCCATAGTATTGAGCTTCCTTGACCTTAGGTGGAAAGGAGGAGTAGAGTTGTAGATTATTGTTCTTAATATGCATACCAACTTCTACTTCAGTAATTCTTGGACATTAAGGGACCTCATTGTTTTTACTTTGCATTTTTCTTTTTAAAAACCCACAGTGAGTTCAAGCAGGTATGCAGACTTGAAATATTTATTGAATTCTATTCTATTGTCTAATAGAATTCCTATATGACAGCTAATTTACTCAGTGCACCAGTACTTAAACCCAAGGTCTCACCTTACTAAGATCAGATTTAAAAATGTAATAAATTTTGAGCCTGAAGCTGTCTTTCACATCAGTGGAGCCATGTTTTACTCCTCTGATCTTGATGGCCAAAGTTTTGCAATCCAGCTAGATAGTCTTTGTCGTTTTGGGGTTCCTGTATTAACATTCTGCTAGAAAAACCTTTCTTTCAATAAGATGTGTGCATGCATATGTCTTGCCTCAGAGAAATGGTTGCATTAGCATCTGGTTATATATCAATGCCTATTGTCTATCCTTTTTAGCTCACAAAAAGGCTACAAGGTCACCCGTACAGGTAAGCATAAGTTATTTTGCTGTCACTATTTTAGAAAGGAAATACTTTTCTTTTTGGCATTCATATGCATTGCGATAAAATTGTGGTGCCTCAATCCAGTTGTTATTGATATTCAGAATAACAGATATGCTCAAATGTTGACATCAACTTCTGCATGTGAATGTGCATCTCTTTGAAAACAGTCTTGTGCACCTTCTTCTTTTTAAAAGTGTTTTCTATTTATGAAATTTTATACTATAATAAAAATTCAAAATAACTTTAAAAAAAAACAAGATTCTTAATATGTCATGTATTAAAAGTATTTAGGGATCCACTAGCTCATATCTTAACTTCTTATGTTTTATGGATAGCACTTCCAAAATTTCATAAAAGTATATTGCTGCAAAAAAAAAATTGGAAGGCAATCTGAGCATGTCGGGTTACTAATATGTCATAACATATTATGACATGACTTAACAGAGAATGGTGTTAGATCCAAATAAAGATAGTTCTGAATTTTGCCTAAAAGATAAGGTTCAACCAGTCCATTGCTTTAGATAGTTTAGCCAAGACTAAATCTTTCCAAATAAAAGACTGCAGACTGGTGAATTCTTTTCAGGAGAGTCTTCTGTCCAAGCACATAGAGAGCCAAGGCAGGTCAGAGAAGGGAATTCAGTGTGTGTGAGTGTGTTGGGGGGGGGGGGGGGGGGGGGGGGGGAGTGTATTGCATAAGACAGCCTCATCTTTTCATATATATGAGTACTTACTCATTTCGAAACAATAGACATGGCCCTCGCAAATTTTTGCTGTAAGTGCTTCCCATTCCTGTAAATTATATAACTGCCACAGGCAGTGTTGTACACCTTGATTTAATGTTGTAAATTCATTTTTCTGTTCTTATGTATGTAGTTTGACTTTTATCAGTGTGAGAGATGAAAGATTATTCATCTGTGTTTTCAATCCTTGCCAGTAAATGCAAACCATTTTCTTTCTTATTGTTTTTTTCAGTGCCTCACAAATGGTTCGATGGCTGAAGCCTGTTTTGACTATACACACATCATACCTTTCAACAGTAAGTGTGTCAGATTGATAGAGCTGTGCATTTCACTTTGTGTTGGGTTCATTGGGGATGTAGCAGGTGGATTGAAAGTAATAGCAAATGTCCTGATGTTCATGCAGTGTGCGCTTTGCTGCTTGACAGTCATTTCACGCGCCGTCCTTTTTCCTTCCCAGTTGCCGGATCTGGTCCCTCAGCTGGGAATGCTGTATCAGTTGATGGAGAGCAGAGTGAAGACATTGCAGAAACTGTCTCGTTTGCATGGGAAACTCTATCTTATTATTACCCAGGTGAGTTACTAGATTGTAGCACAGAGTAGGTTACTGGTGTGAAGCACAGAGTAGGTATGAATAAGGAATGAGGAATGTTAGAGAATGCATTGAAGTTTACTGTCAGTGGTGCAGAACATTTTTCAGTAATTTTGCAAGTGTATCAGAATTCTAGAGAATCAAGACCTCTAATAGTCCTATTTAAAGCAATTAGTATAATTAATGTTTTTCATTGTTCTAAATGGAGTCCCTGGTGGTGCAATGGATTAAACCAGTGGTTCTCAACCTGTGGGTCCCCAGATGTTTTGGCCTTCAAATCCTAACAGCTGGTAAATTGACTGGGATTTCTGGGAGTTGTAGGCCAAAACACCTGGGGACCCACAGGTTGAGAACCACTGGATTAAACCCTTGTGCCGGCAAGACCAACAGGTTGGAGGTTCAAATCCAGGGAGAGTACAGATGAGCTCCCTTTGTCAGCTCCAGCTCCTCATGCTGGGAACATCAGAGAAGCCTCTCACAAGGATAGTAAAACATCCTTGCATCCCCTGGGCAATGTCCTTGCAGACTGACAATTCTCTCACACCTGAAGCAACTTGCAGTTTCTCAGGTCGCTCCTGACATGAAAAAAAAATTGTTCTAAATTACAAAGCCTTCCAAATGCAGTAAATTTCTGCAGTAATTAATTTATAGAATCCAGCTCCGAGGTACGTCATATATTACTAAGCACCATTTGTTGTTTATGAGCAAAATTTTAGGCCATTGAAGAATTTCTCCATTCTCATCAATTTTAGTATTTCTTCCCAAATACATCTTTATAAAATGCATGTTCTATGTTGTACCTGACCAATATATGTGAGAATTAGAATGGGTAAGTATTACTTTCTAATACTAACCCCTGGGTGACTTGACATTTAAAAATTCAGTCAAGTTGCCACTTAGCTTACAGACTGAATCAACTGATAAGGTAGTAGAGGCTAATTTCATTAAGCAGCTTAAAACAATTGCGAAATCCATAAAGAAAGAACTTTATGTGATGTCCTGTTTTATGCCTGCAAGTGCTCCAATTAGCTAGAAGTCCCTTGGACAAGAAACAGTTACAAAAAGAGGTCAAGATGTGAGTTAATTGAAATAAAACCTGCAGCAATACACAGGGTTTTCGGGGGATGGTTTCATTTAGTGAAACAGGCAGAAAGAAGTTTCTGTGAAAGTTGAGTTTGAGTAGCTAGAGCAGTGTCTTATCACATGGTCTTTCAAATAAAGGATCAGGAGGAAGCAGTCTAGAAAACATACAAAGCTTAAGGAAGTCTGAGATACAGGAATGGTATGAAACAGCAGCATTGCTACCTATTCAGATAATGAATTTATAGTTTGGTAGTGTGATGCTCATATTTTCAGTCTTTGGATAAATAAGATATAGCAATGGCAAATGTATAAGAAAGGGAGTTAATTGTCTTTAAAAGAAATCCACGAGTCCCCGATGGCACAGCGGGTTAAACTACTGAGCTGCTCAACTTGCTGACCGAAAGGTCGGTGGTTCAAATCCGGGGAGCAGGGTGAACTCTCGCTGTTTGGCCCAGCTACTGCCAACCTAGCAGTTTAAAAACATGCAAATGTGAGTAAATCARTAAGTACYGCTTTGGTGAGAAGGTAACAGCACTCCATTCAGTCATGCCACCTGCATGACCTTGGAGGTGTCTACGGACAATGCCAGCTCTTTGGCTTATAAATGGAGATGAGCAACCCCCCCCCCCCAGAGTTGGACACTACTAGACTTAATGTCATGCAAGAACATCCTGCATGTTTGTAAGCAGTCTCCTTAAGTTTCATCATTTTGCCACATACATTACTTCCAACAATAAATGTCCCAGTAAATCAATAGTTTAAAAAAACATATGGAGATCTTGTCCCAGCCAATGCCATATTTTGGGATTGAAATGTCCCACATCATTTTTCTGGGACTGAAAGAGAGACACCATATAGAGATGCCATATACCTTGGTTTCAGTAGATTGACTTTTTATGGAGCTTCAGGTGAGAAATAGGGATTCTTTGGGCGATCAGAAATAAAGAACTGTATGTAAGAAACTTAACTGCATTTCTAAGGCAATTGCTGACCCTCAAAATACTGGAATTCTTCCTGGGATCAAAAAGTACCTTCCAACTCATTCGGTGCAATTTCTCCCTGGTGTCTGAGGGTTAATAATGCTGAAACCAGGACTCAAGTGGGCTTAAGCTTGCCACAGCAGGAGGAGGTTTACAGCATGGATTTCCACAGCACTTCCTTTTAATAGGTTCCTCTGGGCTTTAGAGATTCGATTTTCTTTTCTGAGTGTTACTTTTTCATCACAATGTATACCATACTCTCCTGAATCTAAAACATTGGTTTGAATAGCATCATATTAATGAATGTATTTTCTGTAACAGAATGTTCTGTGACTCCTTAAAGCCTAATTGTTTTAGTGTGACACAAACATACTGTGCATTAAAAAGCATTTGGAAACCGTACATGTTTATACACACAGTGTAACTTATTTGCCCACTGAGAATATAACACTTTCTGCACTTGGCAGAGAAGGTTTGTTTTGACAAAAGTTTATCACAATTGCATTGTTAGCTGTTAAGATGCCAAAAGATGTGTTACTGTCTGCCTGAGGCAAGGAAGGATATTTCTATGGAAGTCTTCTGAAAATCATACTTGATGCAGTATTGTATGATATTTAACTGTTGCATGAACAGTTTAAATGTGATACACATTTTGCAGATTCACTGACACTTCCAATTTTCAAAAAGTTCTCTTAATCAAAGGGTGAGAAGTAGACTTCGGGCTAAGTCTAATTTCTAGTTAACTGTACCAAATCTTTTAGAACTTAGTAAATCAGAATTTATGTATATTCTTTTGATTCAGTGGATTAACACTCATTGGGTGTAGGGCATTGTTGACTCGACAAAAGTGTAATTAGTATTTAACGTTACGACTTTATATGACTGCAACTGGTCACATTCAATGGCACTTCATTTCAATTGCATGCACATCATTTGTCTTACTTCATGTAAATAGTGCAAGTGCCACACATGAGGGATTGTATGGTTGCAAAATATAGTAACAGCTCGTAGTAATGTCATGCATTGCTTCTCAGGTTGCAGCTTTGAAAAACGCACAGGATGGGCCTGAGGTTGACCAGACTGCAAAGCTGGTATATGAGGAAGGTAAGCAAAGCGGCTGTTGCACTCTAGCCTGAAATTCACCTTTACACAACACCACATGGGAGTCCAATAGTATAACTAAGTAGTTTATTACGAAAAGCAATTATAAAAAGGTAAAAGGCAAAAGGTAATATAATAAGCAATGTCCAAACAGAAATATCTAGAAAGCAATAGGAAAATGCATTCAAAAAGCCACCAGGTATAGGAAAAAAACAGGAATCAAAACATAGGCATAAATCCAAAATCAGGAATACAGAAACTTCTTAACACGTGAATCCATGAACATGAGTACAAGACTTTTCCAAAGACCTTAGACATGGACATAAAACAAGACCCAAAATCTACACGGTAGTGCAGCATTGCTTAATCTGACTCTTCAAAAAAAGAAAACAAAAACAGTCCTTTAATTTAAGGACCTTAAACTATTAAATCATATCTTTGATATCTGCTCTGTTGCTTCAAAAAAAAAAAAAAGCCTGCATGAAGTTCTTATATTCTCTCTTCATAGAATCATCAGAAGAAAGTTCAGAGGATGAGATGGTGGCAGAAAAAGACTCAGATGTAAGTAAAAATCTTGGTATGCTTGAAAGGCAATTGGTTTAAACATGATTGCAATATCTAACATGGGAGTCCCCAGTGGCACAATTGGTTAAACCCGTGTGCCAGCAGGACTGCTGACCGAAAGGTCGGCAGTTCAAATCTGGGGAGTGGGGTGAGCTCCCGCCTGTCAGCTCCAGCTTCCCATGTGGGGCATGAGATAAGTGTCCCACAGGATGGTGAAACATCTGGGTGTCCCCTGGGCAACGTCCTTTCAGACAGCCAATTCTCTCACACCAGAAGTGACTTGCAGTGGCTCAAGTTGTTCCTGGCATGAAAAAAAATAGCTAACATATGTGATTGCTCACTCTTGCAGGAGAATTGGGATGAAGAGGATGAGGAAGAAGATGAGAAGAACAGTGGAAGAGACGAATTATCAGATAAGGAAGAGGAGATGGCCGTAGATAAAGAAATCAATGGTGAATCAGATTTGGACCCAGAAAATGAAAGTGAAGAAGAATAGCATTAAATTTTCAAAAGCCGATTGGAGCTGGCCACCAAAATGATTAATTTCTGGATTGCCATGCTGGAAACTGCTTGCATCACACAAGGGAATGCAGACTTGATACCTGGCCAGCATATTAGGACACTCTGTTCCCAACTCCAGAATGTGTAATAACAATGCCAGCCTTCTTGATTCTTATGGCCTGAGTTTCCTGGGATCATGGTGAAATATTTCTCTTCTGCATAGTTGGCACGTTGCCCTTTTACTTGGACATTTATTTTGCATCTCAAGTGAAATGGTTTACCAAGGCCTTTTGGATGGCAAACTTGCTGCAGCTTTGTTTATCAGTTCCAAATTCTGGAGGGAAGACCACTCTGTCTCTTCTTGACCTTCTTTGGTTACTTCCTTTTCAAGTTGGCATCTTGCTACATTTTTTTTGGAAGAGAATAAATATTTTTGTAAGACCTAAAACATCCTGTTGGATTTTCTTGATAGTTCTTCCTTTTATCCTCTTTTTGCAGGTCCATTCCTTCATAACAGAATTATTCATGCCTTGGTAGCGATAACAGTGCTAACAAGGTTGAAAACAGCATATTCTTTTTAAAACCAAACTGATTTTTTTATGTGCGTGTGCAGATCAGACACTTCTTGTACTTCCAAAAAGACTCAATGATGGTTCCGGACTTTTTGTTTTAATAGCGCTTGTACATAAGTCACTTCTGACTGAGAAAATGTTCTGTCTTTGGTACAGTAAATAATAACAATGGCCACAAAATAATTATAATAATGAAAGGGGGGCAGAGGCTTGTGAATAATGTAACACAAAAGCATACTGCATTTATTATCCATTTTTAATCTTAGCGGGAGAACATGGGATGTTATTAATGCAGTCAAGATGAAATGGTATGAACAGTTTTTAAGAACGAGGTTTTGAGCCATTCACCAGTAAAATGTACAGTTATATTTGTTTATAATTGGAGCTGTTGCAACCAAATACTGCCCTCCTTTGTAAAGTGAATAAATATACCTTACCTTTATCAAGAACTAGTCTTGTTTGTTGTGTGTGTATGTATGGAGGGGAGGGGAGGGGAGGGTCCTAGATTGAGTTCTTCCAGGTGGGATTTTGATCAGTTATTTCCATTTTCAAGGCATCAAGTTCCCAGATTCTAGTTCTCATTTGTTCTCTCTTGTTTTTGTTCCTTGGGAGGATTTGTCCTGTCATCTATGTTGGCAGAATGTGGGATAACTGTCACTTTGGGTTATGTATTCACAAGTAAATTGTGAGGCAAGGTCCTTCTTGGTCGCCCAGGAGAATGGTTGATCACCCAGGAGAGCTCAGGATATTTGATGTCATGCCAGCAAAAATATCTGCCCTTTGGCTTCACCTCCCATTCCTTCCTTGCCTTAACCCAGGAGAGCTACTTCTTCCTCTGACCTTTAGTTCTTGCAGACTTTTCGCACAAACATTTCAGAACTAAGAATGCATAAGTGAACAAAAACATGTAGAGCTTTCTAGACGTACAGTAGAGTCGCTTATCCAGCCTTCGCTCATCCAACGCTCTATTATCCAACGCAGTCTGCCTCCTGCCTGGATCCACAGCTGTTTCAATACATTGTGATGTTTTGGTGCTAAATTCATAAATACAGTAATTACTACATAGCATTACTGTGTATTGAACTGCTTTTTCTGTCCATTTGTTGTTAAACATGATGTTTTGGTGCTTAATTTGTAAAATCTGACATTTAATAGGCTTTTCCTTAATCCCTCCTTAATTATCCAACATTTTTGCTTATCCAACATTCTGCTGGCCTGTTTAAGTTGAATAAGCAATACTCTACTGTACTTGAAAATATTTTCAGAAGTGTAGCCAGGGTTGATTATTTCCTTTAACCAATCTCAATTTTTCTTAATTTCCATTTTGGTAACTAGACTTCCACATCTATGCTTCTTTAATATGGTGGGAGAGACTCTTGAAATTTTGTTGTTAAAACATGCTCCTTAAGTTTTTCTAAATGGAGCCATTTATGTTGTTTTGTTATGGGTATGTGCACAGCTACAATATAATCAGAGTTTATTTCAATGTTTGCTGCAGATACACTATTGCTACCTGATGCATATCTTTTTTCTAGCTTTGATTAACCATTGCCTAAGTAATGATGCTGCTAAAACATTTCCAATTAAGCACAAGACAAAAGGTAAAGTGGAAGCTGTATTGGCATAAACAGATTTTGTCAGAGCCCTTGATAATGAAGGTATGTCTGTAGTTGTTAGAGAGTTGGAACGCTCTTTGTGACTCTTGTATATATTGTACTATTTGCTGAACTGCTTCAGAAACTTGTATGATGGAAATTGGCAAGTAATTCTGTTCCCGGTAAGGCACATAACTAAAAGGGTCATCTATGTTTTTTTCAGTTCTCTTTTCTCACATGCCCATACCTTACCACGTTATCAGCCTGATCAGTTGTGCATGCGTATTGTGTAGATAAAGTTAGGAATAGGAGGACCATATGGATAGCTTATTGAAGGAAAGGTGAGATATGAATGAAATAATGTCAACTCAAAAAGAACAAATGGAACACACAACTAACAAAATTGAGAAGAAAGATGTTGAATCTCCCAGGATATCCTACAGCCCCTAAAATATGTGAAGTGACAATATTATAAATAGAGGTGGGAAAAATAGACATTTTGGGTTTAAGACCTAGCAGGATTTTTGTTCTTTTTTGATTGAAGTAACAAGTGAAATACCTGAATATGAACTTTAAATCAGAAATAGGAAAGAGAAGCCATAGTTGGGTGATTCATGGTTTAAGCACTAAGTTGTGGTTCGTTGTGATATGCAGATGTACCCAATCAATGTTCATTTGTTCATTCTTCTACTCTTCTTCAAATATAGAGTAAATTTCCTTTCTAGCTGATTTTTAGGACATTCATGTTTTAGTGTCTGAGATTCTATATAGCAGTGGTTTTCAACCTGTGGGTCCCCAGATGTTTTGGTCTTCAACTCCCATAGGCCCTAACAGCTGGTAAACTGGCTAGAATTTCTTTGAGTTATAGGCCAAAACACTTGGAGACCCACAGGTTGAGAACCACTGCTATATAGGCACAATATTCCAGACATGTTTATTCCACAGATGGCCATTGGGTGTCGGACATGTGCCATAAAACTCCTTTCTCCATCCCTTGGACTCCTGTCCCTTCCCTCGTCCTTTGCCCCTTCTTCATCCCTCCTTACATTGGGTACTTAGCCTTCAAGGTGACCCCTCTGTGAGCCGGAGGATGTGCACTTTTGTGGGTTCATTGTTGTAAGCATGACCAGACCATCTATTAGAATAGCCAAAGAAGAGTTTGTTAAATTACATTAATATTTGAACTCAATTCCAGTCTCCAAAACCTTATTTAGTACTTCACCCTTGCTGAGTGTTCTATCTGTTACAGCTTTTCCCTGTCTTTGGATCATCTTTCTTGTATCTGCCTTCTTTCAGAGGTAAACCTCAATTTTGTAGGCTTTCCTCACCCTTGGTACCACCCATACTCACGCAAATCTCTTCACCCATTCCTTCTTACGTTCTTCAAATCTTTGATTAGCTTACTTCTATGACTCATATTTTAGTATATGAGCTCCTATATGAGTCAACAGTGTGGAGGAGTAGATTAGAAAACCAATGTGATCCTAGGCTGCATCAATATGAGTATAGTGTCTAGAAGGTCAAACTACAAGAAAGATTCCATCTGAACATTAGGAAGAACTTCCTGACTTTGAGAATTGTTCAGCAGTAGAACTCTGCTCCGAAGTGTGGTGGAGGCTCCTTCTTTGGGGGCTTTTAAACAGAGGCTGGATGGCAATCTGTCAGTGCTTTTGAGTGCAATTTTCCTGCTCCTTGGCAAGGGGTTGGACTGGATGGCCCATGAGGTCTCTTCCAACTCTATGATTCTAGTCATAGTCCCACTCTATTCTTCTTTGGTCAGACCTCACCTGGAATACTGTATCAAGTTCAGATCACCAGAATTAAAAAAAATATGTTGAGAAGCAAGTACAGTGGAGCATATTGAAGGGTGGCCAAACTAGTAAAAGGTCTGGAAGCCAAGGCCTGTGAGAAGCGACTAAGGAGCTGGGTGTTTACCCTGCAGGAGTGAAGGTTAAGAGGGAACATGGTAGTCATTTCTGAAAGAATGTCATATTGAGGAGAGAAGATTAGTTTTCGGCTGCTCCAGAGAACAACATACAGAGCAACAGATTCAAACTACAGGATTCAAACTAGTGAGAACTTCCTGATGGTAAGAGCTGTTTGACGCTGCCTCAGATGTGGTGGAGTCTCTCTCTTTAGAGGTTTTTAAGCAGAGGTTGGATGGCTATCTGTCAAGAAAATTTTGATTGTGTGTTCCTCCATGGCAGCAGGTTGGACTAGATGGCCCTTAGGGTCTCTTCCAATTCTTCCAATTCTATCTGAGCATAATGTTCCAGAAACATTTATTCCACAAATGGCCATTGGGTGTCAGATTTGTGCCAGAGAAGAATGGTGAGTTACTAGGCCAAAGTAATGTGTGGTAATAGCATATACTATATGTTTGTGCCAACATTGAGTCCCATTTTCTTTTTACTCTTCTGAAATAATTCCTCAGCACCAATCCCTTCAGAGACATTGATAGGGGCTGTCAATGTAACAGCTTGAACTTGACTGCCTTGGAATTCAAACATGTTAAATATTAATGTAATAGTGGGAAAGAACGTCAAATTTAGGATCCATATGACCCACAGCTTCCCTTTATGTATGTGCTCAAAATGCAGAGTATGGTAGGAGACAGGATCAGCAGTGATGTGACATCAGTTTGGGCAGGATATTTTGCTGTGTTTTAAAACCTAAGAGCCTCAGATTTTCTTCTCCCCATCTATTTTGATAGAAAGGACAACCAGCCAGAAAAGTATTTGGGACACCAGCTTTTTAAAGGACATTATGAAATCAGAGTACATTTCATCTCTGAATATTCTGATTGCTTGCAACTCGCGTATTTAGTTATGTATAATGCACCACGGGGAGCCACCGGTGGTGCAGTGGGTTAAACCGCTGAGCTGCTGAATTTGCTGACTGAAAGGTTGGCAGTTCGAATCCAGGGAGTGGGGTGAGTTCTTGCTGTTAGCCCCAGCTTCTGTCAATCTAGCAGTTCAAAAACATGACAATGTGAGTAGAACAATAGGTACTGCTCTGGTGGGAAGGTAATGGTGCTCCATGCAGTCATGCGGGCCACATGTCCTTGGAGGTGTCTACGGACAATGCCGGCTCTTTGGCTTAGAATTGGAGATGAGCACCACCCTCCAGAGTCAGACAAGACTAGACTTAATGTCAGGGGAAACCTTTACCTTCACTTTACCTTATAATTCACTGAAGAAATCCAACACCTGGCAGATACCCATGATGCTCAGGGATTTTTCAAAGTCACAAAGGTCATCTACGGACCAAGAAAGCATGGCATACAGCCTCTACGCTCATCAGATGGAACCAAACTTCTGAAGGACAAAAATCAATTGCACTACATTGGAAAGAACACTACCAAAGCCTCCTGAACCGCAGCTCCAATGTGTCCGAAGAGGTTCTCTCACAAATCCTGCAACAACAAACCAGGGATGAGCTTGCAGCACTGCCTAGTTTGGAAGACGTCAGCAATGCCATCAGCCAACAAAAAAATAAAGCCAATGGACCTGATAGGATCCCTGCTGAAATCTTTAAAGAGAGAGGACCTGAGCTGACACAACAACTCCACCAGCTCATAGAAAAAGTGTGGGTGACCGAAAAAATCCCAGCAAATTTCAAGGATGTCACCATCATCACCCTCTTCAAAAAAGGGAAAGAACAGACTGCGGAAACTATCGAGGTGTCTCCCTTCTAACCTCCGCCGGGAAAATCCTCACAAGAATCCTTGCAAACCGCCATCTACCCCTCTCAGAAGACACCCTCCTAGAATCCCAGAATGGTTTCTGCCCCTCCAGTGGACATGATCTTCGCTGCACAACAGCTCCAAGAAAAATCCAGGGAACAAAACCAACCACTGTACATGGCATTCATTGACCTTGCAAAGGCATTCGACACAGTCAATCACAGCGCTCTCTGGACCATCCTCCAAAAAATCGGGTGCCCTGACAAATTTGTGAACATCCTGCCACTCATCCATGATGGCAACAGTTTTGGACAGCAATGGCTCCCAGTGACCCATTTAAGGTGGAAAATAGGGATGTGTTATTTCCCCAACTTTATTTTCCATCTTCATCGCTGTGATACTTCATCTTGTTGACAGGAAGCTTCCCACTGGAATAGAAATAATCTATCAGTCAGATGGCAAGCTAATTAACTTCAGCTGACTGAAAGCCAAAACCAAGGTTACAACATCTGTTATAGAACTCCAATATGCTGATGACAGACATCTGTGCGCATTCAGAAGAAGACCTACAAGCCAGTCTAAACACTTTCGCAGAAGCATACGAGAAGCTCAGCCTGCCATTGAACATCAAGAAAGCCCAAGTGCTCTTCCAGCAGTCACCAGCCAATCCTACTCCAATGCAGGAAATACAGCTTAATGGTGTAACATTAGAAAATGTTGATCATTTCCGCTACTTTGGCAGCCACCTCTCCACCAAAGTCAACATTGACACTGAAATACAACACCGCCTGAGCTCTGCGAGTGCAACATTTTTCTGAATGAAGCAGAGAGTGTTTGAGGACCAGGACATCCGTAGGGATACCAAGGTGCTTCTTTATAAAGCTATTGTCCACCTAACCCTGCTATACGCCTGCGAGATGTGGACTGTCTGCAGACGTTACATGCAACTCCTGAAACGATTCCATCAGCGCTGCCTCTGGAAAATCCTGCAAATCTCTTGGGGAAGACAAGCGGACAAATGTCAGCGTGCGGGGAGAAGCAAAGACCACCAGCATTGAAGCGATGGTCCTCCGCCATCAACTCCGCTGGACTGCCCACGTTGTCCAGATGCCTGACCACCGTCTCCCAAAGCAGTTGTTCTACTCCGAACTCAAGAACGGAAAATGGAATGTTGGTGGTCAGGAAAGAGAGATTTAAAGATGGGCTCAAAGTGAACCTTAAAAACTCTGGCATAGACACTGAGAACTGGGAAGCCCTGGCCCTTGAGCGCTCCAGCTGGAGGTTGGCTGTGACCAGCAGTGCTGTAGAATTTGAAGAGGAACAAATGGAGGGCGAAAGAGAGAAATGTGCCAAGAGGAAGGTGCATCAAGCCAACAACGACCAGGACCGCCTTCCACCTGGAAACCAATGCCCTCACTGAGGGAGAAGATGCAGATCCACAGTCACCTATGGACCCACCGCCAGTACACTGATCTTGGAAGACTATCCTACTCGGACTACGAGGGATTGCCTAAGTAAGTAAGTAGTAAGTAATTCGCCACTGAATGTGCATTCAGTGGTGACTTTCTCATTAGCCTTTTTGTGGCCACTGCTGCGTGTCCTTTCTCTGTCCCCGGCTGGGATTTCTTGCCTTATTAGTATTAAACTTTATACCCTGCCACCATTTCCCCTCAGGGACTTGGGGCGGTTAACATGAGGCCAAGCCCAACGAATACAGTAAATGAATAAGATACATACAGCAAATTATAATTATAATTCGATGCAATGAATGTGATGATTAAAGGATTGGTAATATGGACGACGAAACTGGATCACGATTTTAGTCAGGAGATGCATTGGATTGTTATTGATGTGCCAATATCGTGTATTATGTTTTTATGGTTTTAAATTGTATACTGTGACTGTTGTATTTTGTTGTAAACCGCGTTGAGTCGCCAGTTAGGCTGAGAAACAGTGGTATACAAGTACAGTAAATAAATAAATAAATAAAATAATTATAATCACAATAAAATTAAAATAAAGCACAGCAAAAAAAATAACATATAAACAATGAAAGGAAATTAACATAATGGAATATATGACTAACAGCCAGCATAGATGGGTTTAGCTACATGACTCAAATGTGCCATTGAATCTCATGTGCACCTCAATTTTAGTTATGTAATTTAGTCAAAAAGGTGAGTGTTACTCAAGCAAATATGGTATTTCCTTTTACATTGAGCCAACAGTTCTTCATGGACAAGTATAATCAGTGGCAACTGGTAGCTCCCATGTTACTGGAACAGGGAATCTGCTCTGGGTTTCAGTCTGGAGTTTAAAGGAGCTATTTGAGGTGCTGCATCTATTTGGGAGGTAGAATTCAGTACCTTGGACAGTTCCAAAATTCAGGTTGAAAACTCATGCATTCTTCACCTCCACTGATTGGAAACTACTAGCTTGAACTCTGGACAATTTGTTATTTAATGGATTTGTATTCTATTTCATTTTATTTCATTTTACTGTGTTCTGTTGTATATTGTTTACTGTATTGCTGGGCTTGGCCCTATGTAAGTCGCCCCAAGTCCCCTTGGGGAGATGGTGGCGGGGTATAAATAAAGTTTATGTTGTTGTTGTTGTTGTTGTTGTTTCTGTTCTGCCTACTAGGCCCTTGTTGCCTTGTTTGGCAGCAGGGAAAGAGGTTTAATCTGATATTCCAAAACTTCAGTAAGCTGTCTTCAGCAGCTTACTTTCCACTTGCTCTGAAGAAGCTGAAATGTCCTCCCAAAAATCCTCATATCAGAAAAAAAGCAATGGAATATAGCCTTGGTAACAGGTTCTCTCCTTTGCCTGAACTGACTTGGTGCTTTTTCCAGTCCCTACATGCCCTGATGCTCTTCTTCATTCCAGCAGCATAAACAAGACTTCTGGGGTTGTGTGTAGCTGGACCTCATGGGAGGTGCTAATGTAGCAGAACGCATGGTCAGGTATAGAAACTTTCCACAGGTTGTGTAATCTCATGAGCCACGGTCGCTTAACAGCGCAAAGAGTCTTTTCTCTCCAAATATTATTGGGCTTAACAATAAATATCACAATCTCCTGATATATTTTCCCGGTATGGTAGAGTCCCAAAATCAGGCAATTGTCCAGCCAACTCTGTGGTGGCACTATCACTCTTCAGTGCTTCCTAAGGGCTGGCATTGATGTTCCTCAACCCACATCTCCCTGCTCCACATCACTGCTTTCTGAGCAAGAAAAAGTGCATGGGCTCATTTACATTGTAAAAGCAATACAGTTTGACCCTATTTAACTGTCATTAATCGGAGCTATGAAATCATGGAAGTTGTAGTTTTACAGGGACATGTCTTTTCTGTTCAAGATTGCTAGTGCCGCCCCAACTAAAAATTAAATGATTGCATTGTGTGAAACCATGGCAATTAAAGTGTGGTCAAACTGAACTGTAGATAGACTCAACATAGTCTTGGTCATCAACTTGTAAGTAACAGCTGAAAGGCTTTTGTGTTTTCTTCTCTTTACTTCTAACTTTGCAAACTCTCTTTATTAACTGGGCGTCATCCAGAGGTTTTACTGGCTTTCCGAAGTCCAGGCAATGCAGCTGAGCAGAGTTTTCTGCCTTTCCACAGCATGAAATACTTCAAGAGGGGAAGTCCGTTTTGTGTGTGCATTATGGTTGCTTCTACCTATTAAACCCATTCATTATATTCTGTGGCTGTCCAGTGGGGGCAATAAGAAATGATTTATAACTATGGCAACAGTTGCTGGGAGAGACTGGCATCAACAAGAATCTCTTTCATGCCCACATCAAGGAGTTGAGGGGTGAAGAGTCTCTTGGATCCCGTTGAACAAGATCCAGTTGTGATCCTTCCCAAATTTCTGGACTGAGGTAAGTCCTGCTGAAATATTTCACACACATATATATGAACAGAAATATCTTGCTTTAAATAATTATCTGCTTCTATCTTCTGAAGCGGAGCAATTGATGACTGGAGATATGTCAGATCACTCCTTTCCCACATTTTAAGAATGGAGCTTATTTCTTAAAAAATTGCTGGCTTGAGAAAGTAGCAAGGAATCTTGACTCTAGTTGATGGCACAGGGTGAAGCATCTTCTGCAGAATCCACTGTAAAACCTGGCCAACTGATTTGTGTAAATGTCTGAAACAGCCAACAAATAGTTCATAAAGTAGCCATATTTTGGGACCCCAATATTAAGCTTATTTATTTATTTATTTATTTATTTATTTATCGTATCAGAAGTGAACCAAGGGTGAAATTGTAATGTATTTAAAAACACAGAGTTTAAAAACTTGGCATTATATTAAATGTCCCTTGACCAGTAGCTGGTCACCTGGAGTGCCTCTGGTGTTGCTATAAAAAGGTCCTCCATTGTGCATGTAGCAGGGCTCAGACTGCATTGTAATAGGTGGTCTGTGGTTTGCTCTTCTCTGCACTTGCATGTCATGGACTCAACTTTCTAGCCCCATTTTTTAAGGTTGGCACTGCATCTCGTGGTGCCAGAGTGCAGTCTGTTCAGTATCTTCCAAGTTGCTTAGTCTTCTGTGTGCCCAGGGGGGAGTCTTTCATTTGGTATTAGCCATGGATTGAGGTTCCAGGTTTTAGCTTGCCACTTTTGGACTCTCGCTTGCTGAGGTGCTCCTGTGAGTATCTCTGTAGATCTTAGAAAACTATTTCTTGATTTAAGGTGTTGGCGTGCTGGCTGATGTCCGAACAGAGGATGTCACTGCGTTGGTCCTTTTATTATTGGCTGCTACTTCCCAGAGGATGTCAGGTGGTGCAATACCAGCTAAGCAGTGTAATTTCTCCAGTGGTGTAGGGTGCAGACATCCTGTGATAATGTGGCATGTCTCATTAATAGCCATATCCACTGTTTTAGCATGGTGATATATGTTCCACACTGGGCATGCGTACCCAGCAGCAGAGTAGCAAAGCACAAGGGCAGGTGTCTTCATTGTATCTGGTTGTGATCCCCAGGTTGTGCCAGTCAGCTTTCATATGACATTGTTTCTAGCACCCACTTGTTGCTTGTTGCTTGATAATCCAGCAGTGCTTCTTGTAGGTCAGAGAATGGTCCAGGGTAACTCCCAGGTATTTGGATGTGCTGCAATGCTCCAGTGGGATTCCTTCCCAGGTAATCCTCAGAGCTCGAGATGCTTGTCTGTTCTTAAGATGAAAAGCACATGTCTGCGATTAGACAGATTAGGAATCAGCTGGTTTCCCCTGTAATAGGCAGTAAGACCACCTAAAGCTTCGGAGATAAGAGTTTAAAAAGTAGTGCTTTAAGCAAAAGACCACGCTTGCTTGAAAACATGACTTTGCATCCCCTTAAACCATTTCTTTTTCATTTCAGTTTATATGTTTTAAGAAAATCCATTTTGGTTGTAGGAGTAAATACTTGACTTTCATTCTCCTCTTTTCCTTTCAATGAAAGTTCAAATTATTAAAATGTGATGATTAATGAGTTTGGACAAGCTACTTTCTTGGACTACAGCTCTCAGAATTCATAAACTATCTTGGCCACTATTGCTTTCTTGTTTCTCTGAAAGAACTAAATTTGCTGTTTCTGTTACCTAAAATCCAAAATCAAACCATTAATGCAGCAGCATGAACCAGCAATTGAACCATGTGGTGCTCCTCCTTCACTTTTATGATTTTTTTATTACAATTATGTGTATGTATGCGGCTTCAAGTCACCTCCCAACCTACAGTGACCCCATGAATTTCATAGAGTTTTCTCAGGAAAGGTAAATACTCAGAGGTGTCATTGCCAGTTCCTTGCTCAGAAGTATAGCCTATAGCACCTGATATTTATTGGCAATCTCGCATCCAAGCACTAACTAGAGTTGACCCTACTTAGCTTCCAAGAGCAGACAGGGCCTGATGCCTTTAGGGTATATTGGTGATCATTAGTAGCTAATTAAAAGTACCATTATTGTTAACTAGTTACAACTTGGCTCTGGCTTAGTTTGTGCATAAGTGGGAAAGTGAATTATACAGGAATTCTGAAAAATGGTAACCTCAGCAAATGTTACAATTTATCTCCCATCTACAAATTTCTCCACCAAAGTGCCTTATTTGTAGAGAATTAGGTAATGTGTGAAGTGACTATTTAAAAAGAGTTTTGCAACCCTTCTTCCCTTCCTTCCTTCCTTCCTTCCTTCCTTCCTTCCTTCCTTCCTTCCTTCCTTTCCAATTAGTCCTTGATAGTCTCTGCTCGACATCCTGTGTTTTACAGCTCTGGAAATGTAATGATTTGTTGAGCCTTCCTTGTCTAATTCCTGGTTATTTACTGTTAGGCCTGTCATTACTCAGAAGTGTATTACTGATTGCTGCTGGGCTGGAATGTATATCTACCCATCTCTGTGTTTGGGGTGTTTATCTGGTCCTCCTGTGGTGGCTGCTATTACTTGTCAGCATTGTTTATGAAGCCAGGCGAAATTAAATGTTATTGATTATGGAGCTGGAAGTAACTGCGAGATCAGCAAGTAGAAATTTAGGTAGAGATTTGTCATAGACTTGAGTCACTAGCCACTACAATTTAACCCATTGAATCTGCTGGATGAGGAATCTTTCTCCCCAATGAGGAGAAATCTAGACCTAGTCCTGGAATTATTTTCCTTGTGGGAAAGAAAATGTTTCCCTGGGGAAACTGAGGCACAATTTGCAATCTATAGCTCTATTTGAGTACATCTTTTTCTTCATCCATGTAAAGGGTAAAACTCACAAGGCCCTTTCACATTACACTATTATAGCACTGCAATGCCACTTTAATGGTCATGGTTAGATCTTGAAGTTTGTAATTGTGTTTATGCGTAGTTTCATCTAGAAAGCAAGAGTGCCTCAATAAACTACAAATCTCTGGATTCTACAGGAAGAATTCACTAAGGTAAAAGATAAAGGCTTCTTCTTGACATTAAATCTTGTTGTGTCCAACTCTGGGGGATGGTGCTCACCTCAATTTCTAAGCCGAAGAGCTGGCATTGTCCATAGACACCTCCAAGGTCATGTGGTCGGCATGATTGCATGGAGTGCTGTTACCTTCCTGCTGAAGCGGTACCTATTGATGTACTCACATTTGCATGTTTTCAAATTGCTAGGTTGGCAGAAGCTGGGGCTAACAGCAGGAGCTCACCCTGCTCCCCGGATTCGAAACACCAACCTTTCAGTCAGCAAGTTCAGCAGCTCAGTAGTTTAACCCGCTGCGCCACTGGAGAATCCCTGGACTCTACAGGAAGAATTCGCATATCATTGAAAAATATTTTAGGGGGACAAGGTGAGAAAAAGAATACAAAAGGCCTGGCATATTTCCCATCTGTTCTGTTTAAAAAAGGGTTTTGCTTTGTCACCATGTCTCAAGGGTTTGTTGCAATTTAGCAATTTGCTACTATGCACAGCAACATCTCAGGAAGTAATTCAGTATCCAGTTATCCAAACTAATGTGACCATGTTATATTTTTATTTTTTTTCAAAAAAGTAAATCAAAATAAATAAGGAAATGTGCTATATGCTTCCCTCCATGTTCAAAATCTGTTGGCATTGCTTCTGGGCATTACTGCTTTGACTTTGGATTATAAATTCGTTTGGCACCATGCGCTGGTTCTCTTCCTCGCTTTTTAAGCCAGTCTATTGGCAGGTCGCCTGATCTCTCTTGACACCCAGGTCCTATGGATCTCATTGCCTCCGGTGTGCCAAATGCCTAAAAAAAGGATCCAATCAGATCCGACTTGCCAAAGGCATTAATGAATCTCCTTATGTGCTGGCAGGCAACATAATTCCTGAACAGGAAGCAACAGGCGTTCGCAGCTAGCAAAAATCCCCCAAAGTGGGGAGGGCTGCTTTGGGGTGATGAATGTTTTGGGGAATACTGAACCCCAGAAGTCAGGTCTCAGATCCCACCATATAAATTCTATACAAGCTCTGAGGGTTAGCAGGAATGTCAAAAATGAAGATGGAGGTAGGTTTCCTTTCTTATAGCCCTTGTTGCATCATCTGTTCTCTTTGCTTTGCGGTCCCTACCTATTGCCAAGTTGCTTGGAGCTGTCTGAGAAAACCAAGGCTGAACAGGATTTATTTACTGCTCTGAACGGAGCGGTTTCTTAAGGGACTCTTTAAGTGCTGTAATAGCTAGTAGCATGCCAGGCTGAGTGCGCTCAAATGCACGGCAATGCAAGGCTGTGATCTACGTTGACATCTGGAAAATGTGGGAGGGAGGCAGTAAATGTGAAATTCTCCAAGTTAAAAGGGTGCTCACCTCTCTTGTATTGGAGATGAACATGTGTGGTTGTGGCTAGGAAGAAGCCAATTACAATTTGGAATGAAAGGAGCTCTTGTTGGAGATGTGTGCATCTCTATACTTAATGACTCCATACATCTCTTCACATGGAGCTCTCATAATAAGCGAAACAACAGCTCTGAGTGGTAATCCAACACATCTTGAAGGAACCAGGTTGGGGAAAGTGTCTTAGAATTCAACCATGAGAACATCAACATTTTGCAATTTTGGATGCATTGCACTTGATTACCTCTACCTTATTACTATCCTGAATGTGGGGTCAACCTGAAGGATTATTGTTGGACAATGTCACCCAATGAGCTTTATAACTGAGGAATGGATTTCATGCCACTCTGGTCCTAGTTCATCTCTATTTCACCTGGAGCTCCTGGTGGCGCAATGGGTTAAATCCTTGTGCTGGCAGGACTGAAGACTTACAGGGGAGAGCACGGATGAGTTCCCTCTGTCAGCTCCAGCTCCCCATGCGGGGACATGAGAGAAGCCTCCCACAAGGATGGTAATACATCAAAACATCCAGGTGTCCCCTGGGCAATGTCCTAGCAGATGGCCAATTCTCTCACTCCAGAAGCGAC